GAATATCTTGAGATCCAACCGTTGGAATGTCTCCAAACTAAGTGCATTTGAAAGCTGGTTGATTCTTCTATAAGTTGTCCAATTTTGAGGGTGATCAGACGGTGAGAAGGTCTTCGTCTCTCCATGAGAGTTCTGACGGTCTGCATTTATCCTAAAGAGTCTTTTTGTTCCAATTTGTGCCTCTTTATCCCAAATTACCTGAAAAGTCTTTTAAAATCCGGAAACATAGAAATCCTTTGAAAACCTTTGAAAATGGAGTAAAAACACCTGTAAAAGATATTAAAGTGATCCATAAAAATGGTCAAAATCTGGTGTTATCAGCCGCGGTCAGAGTGGTCCCACCTGCGGCTCCAAATGTGTATCACTCATAGTTTGCTTCCTCTTTCTCGTACTTGGTACGAACCTCTTCAGCCTCTTTCTTTGGTAAACTAGCATCATCTGAACTCATACCAGGGTGTTGTTGTGCATCTTCATCAGGATCTTTGGGACACTTCTTAGAAAAGCTCACAATTGGCTCAATGTTGGGCATCTATTCAAATATTGTGATAATCTCCTGTGCCTTGAGCTCGAGTTTGTTCAGCCTGTGCTCGATCTCCTGAAACTCTTTGTCTGTCTTCTCTCTATACCAAGAGGCGAATTCTCTAACTTCTTTGATCTCCTGCATTGATTCGACAATATCACTTGAATTTTTTATAATGTCATACCCTTGCCTTGTCTGCTCTGCTGCGACTTGGTTGATCATCCTAGCTAGTGTTTGTGCGTCCTAGTGGGTTTTTCTTCCAAAACTCGAACATGATTGGCCAGATCATCGAATTTTCTGTTGAACTCTTCAGAGATTGAATCAATTCTCTTGAGCAGGATGTTTTCGGTGAGAATCTGCTGATTAAGGAACTGGTTTATCATTCCTTCAAGACGTCCCAAACGTTTGTTGATCCTCAAGTTGTCCTCTTGCTGATTAGGGTTCTGCGGTGGAGGATGGCAGGCGTGTGGCTCGAAATAGGTCAGAGGAGGACCATAAGGATCTTCCCGGCGTCGAGCAGGTTCTCTTTAGTGGTAGTTTGGATGATTTGGATGGCTGTATCGATCCATGTATCTAAGATCTCGAGCTTGATGTTCTTCTCTGCCTCTGGTGGCTTGAGGAGTGTTGTAAAAACCTCCCTCATAGTAAGGATTTTGATCTATAGGATCCATTTCTTCGGGAATGGAAACAAAAGAACCAAAAATGGAAATATGCAGAAAAAGGGTTCTAGAGTCGATTTACCAACCTTTCTTAGGGTTTTGGGAAAAAGAAAACGTGTGCCCTCCCCAGAAACGGCGCCAAAAACTTGATTTGTGTGTGCCACGTGAGGGTTGTCAAGTTTTACCCTAAATAAAATCAATAACCGCAAGTGCACAGCTGATCGATTGTAGTACTTAGGGATCGAATCCACAAGGAAAGAGGATCTTCCCTGCAAAAGCCTTGGAAAGAAATATAAAGTAAGGAAGTCTAGAACCAGACAATTTTTGTAAGGGTTTTGGTGGTGTCTTTAAAACGTAAAAACTAATCTTAACGAAAAAATACAGGAATTGAAATGACATAATAACTAAACTTAACGAAATCGACTAAAAACAAGAAAAACGGCTAAACCTAAGTGCTTCAGCAAAAATAGATTAAGAAAATCAAAATGATGAACTAAAGCTTAAAATAAAATCAATGTAAATCTATAGAAAAGAATGTGATGGGTTTCAGAGAAGTTTTCTATGGGGTATGAACGAGTCTATTGTCATGGACGTATGAATACGCCACTGTCGTGATCATAGACAACTATCTCTCTCAACCCTGGCCAGTAGGTTTCCACTCTGGTCCTGGAAGAGAAAAGATGCATTATGTTTAAGACTCGTCAGCATTCACAAATCGCCTATGGGTAAGTTTCCACTCCTATGTTTGTTATGTTCTCCCAAACTAGATCTGACACCGGATGAACACTTTCCTGTCACCAAGCATCTTGATCAGATTGTAGTTCATGACGCTAATCTCATGCAGTAAAAGTAAATTCAGAAGAAAATGTTCTAAGATTTGGCTTCAATAGATCATGGAATCCTCATCGAACACATAAATCCCCAATTGAAATCCCTTATACCCAACAAAAAACTACTCAGACATGATGAATAAAATAAAAAAAACATAGTATTAAAAAGTATAGCAATCATCGAAATTGAAAAAGAAAGAACAAGGGTTCAAGAGACAAGTCTCTCTCTCCCAAAACCTAAAAACAAAAGTGTAAAGTAAAATTTCTTGTAAAGTATTTTTTCTCTCCTAAAACGACCTAAATGATACGTATTTATAGTCTCCAATGCTCTCTAGTGTCTAAAGTTCCGGAATTGAGGCTGAGAAACTGATTTGGGCTTTAGAAATGGGCCTTCGAACTCGGAGTTGGCTGGCCGCGGTCGGGAAGTGCGTGGCCGCGAGGAATGGGTGCTTTGCTGCGGTCAGGAAGCCTCTGACCATGGTATGATATATCATGGTTTTTATAGTTTTTGACCATGATATAGGTCTTATTTATAGATTCTTTTTAGTGTTTTTTTTAGTCTTTTAGAGTCTTTACAGGTCCTAGGTACGTTTGGAGCTTAATTGGAGATATTTGAGCATTTTGGAGCTAAATAGATGGATTTTCGTAGAGGATGATTTCAGCTGTGCATGAGTGTCGCTCGACACTACCATCGGTGTCGCTCGACACCGAGGACCACAAAAGGAAAAACGTGATTTTATCCAATTTCTGAAGAATCTGTGAAGCCCTTAAGTCTTTAATATTTACAAAAAGGCCCAAAACGTGTTTTTAGATTTAAGAAGGGTTTTCTGCCTCCTTCATCGAAACCTTTCATTTTTTTAGACTTTCAGAGAGAAAAACTTAGTTCATCTTTACTTTTGAGAGCTTTTGGGGAGACAAGTCTGAACTCTGTTTGTTTTGAGAGAAGATTTCGAACCCCTGTTATTTATTCAATGATTTCTTATTTGCAAACTAGTCATTCATGTCTGTTGCTTCAATATTCATGTCTGAGTAGTTAGCTTGTTAGGTTTAGGGTTCTCATAAAGGATTTCATTGAATGTTAGATTAATTGATTAGTTAGGGTTCATAATCTGATTAGTTCTTCACCATAGGTTGTTCTTAAAGCTAATTCTGGACTGGCAACCTAGAACTTAGATCTTAGGTTAATTGATTGACACGAAAGTGTAATTGAATAATCTGAAAGAACCTAGGGTGAGCAAAGTAGCTATCCGCAAAGAAATTTGGTTTAGATACTTTGTGAACATATCAAACCTGCACTTAAGGCTAGTCTATATCTTTAGGATTTGCAAAGAAATTTGGGATTCTAGGATTTAGACTTAGATAATTCTCGCAACGAAAGTTGGTTAATTATAATTTCGTGATTTGAGTTCAAGAACCGCACTTAAACCTGAATCCTGACTAGTTAATTTATCTGCATTCTCTGATTTCCTGAGAAACACCCTAGACCTAATCCTTTTCCAATCGATTTACAACCGTTTTCATTGTTCTGTTGTTTTCCATTCTGTGATTTCTGCTTAGCGTAATTCAATTCTTTTAGGTCTATTGAGTGAATCTCTCGTCTCTGTGGTTCGACCCCTACATACTACAACCGCACATCTGTGCTCTTGCAGAGTAGCTCTAGGGATTAAACTTTGAGCAGATCAAGTTTTGGCGCCGTTGTCGGGGACTTGATTTTCGCCATTAGACTTAAGATCTTGAGTTTCGACTAAGTTTTCCTTAGTGTCGAGCGACACCCTTAGTGGTGTCGTGCGACACCAGTCGTTTTTGTTTGATTTTACTTTTATTTTGTTACTTACATTGTTCTTTCTCTTTGTCTCAGAAACTAGCAGAGATGGAGAACGCATTGGCATTGGTTCGTGATGATGCTGGAGTCTGGAGAGACCAAGAGGGTCATGTGTGCAATGAGAGAGGCCAGCGACTTGATGGATATGGTAACATCATCAGGACGCTGGGTGATTACAACAGGCCTGAGCAGTTTTATGCAAATCGGTCTGCGATTCGCGCTCCTGCGTTTCAATGGAATGACTTTAAGCTCAAACCTGTGTACTATACTCTTGTGGGTCAGCATCCCTTTCATGGCAATTCTCATGAGCTCCCTATGGATCACATCGAGAGGTTTGAGGACTTGGTCACCAGCATCAAATACAATGGAGTGTCCAATGATTTCCTCCTCTGCAAGCTGTTTCCTTATTCTCTTGCTGGAGAAGCAGCTAACTGGTTGAAGCAGTTGGAGCCAGGATCACTCACTACTTGGGAGGAGACCAGGAATGCCTTCCTGCACAACTTCTTCGATGATGCTAGGTCTGAGGAATTGAGAACAAAAATTTCGACATTCTCTCAAGAACCAACTGAAGCGTTCAAGGCTTCTTGGGTGCGATTCAAATCGTACCAGCGAGACTGCCCCCATCATGGCTTCAGCGATGTTCAGCTGTTGGGTATTTTCTTCAGATGTGTTGATTGGAGGTATCAAATGGCTCTTGATGCTGCAAGCAATGGGAACTTCAACACCAGATACCCTGAAGACGCTGTTATGCTTATTGAGAACTTGGCATCTAGCAATAGTACCAAGAATGCAGACTATCAGCGAAAGAAGCAGGGTGGAAACATGGATGGATCGCAGATTGCTGAGGTGAAGGCTAAGCTTGACTCTGTGCATAGCCTTCTAGTGGGTAAGAAGTCCGTCCGATACGCTGCAGAGGTTAAGAATTTTGGACCAGATGAAGCACTTCAGGAAGAGGATGTTAACTTCATCAATGGAGCTGGATTTCAGGGTCAGAGATTTGGTACTCAGCCAGGAAACATGAATTACAGTGGAAATAATCAGAGGAGTACCTTCACAGGTAATCAGAACTCTTCTGGTTATAATTCCAAACCTCAGTACCAGAATCCTACTCCAACAACAGTTTTTCAAGGAATTATGGTTCTCCTCCTCCTCAAACTCCAGATAATGAGATGAAATCTATGCTGGAACAGATCCTGAAAGGTCAGCAAAAGATTACTGTGGATTTCAATGGGAAGATTGATGCTCTGTATCTGGATCTGAATGGAAAATTCGAAGCTCTAAACACTCATGTTAAGAAGCTGGACATTCAAGTTGCTCAAACTGCTGAGGCTGTAAAAAGGCAAGAGGGATTTCTTCCTGGGAAGACTGACACCAACCCAAGACATTACTGCAGTGCCATCACGTTGAGAAGTGGTAAAAAGCTTACTCCTGAGCTTAAAAAGGGTGATCATGAGGATGAAGTCGTGGAACTGGAGGAATCTGCAGAAGATTTTGAAACTGCAGAGCCGGTGTCGAGCGACACTACCACTAGTGTCGCGCGACACCAAGTCGATGATATGAAGAAGACACCAGCAGTGACGCACGACACCAACACGGGGGTTGAGCGACACCAAGAAGCTGAGACGAAGAAGAAATTATCAGTGCCGAGCGACACCACCTCTAGTGTCGGTCGACACCAACCTGAGGGTCCGAAATCACTGCTAGTGTCGAGCAACACCACCACTAGTGTTGATCGACACCAGCCGCCATCTGAAGAAATCATCACCAAGAAGCCAAAACCAGCTGAGGAAAGAGTCTACAAACCTAAGATTCTTTACCCAAGGAGTCCTAGGAAGTCCGATCAGGAGCTAGACGATGCTAGATGCAAGGCTTTGATGGAGAAACTTGTGATTGAGATTCCTTTGGTTGATGCTGTGAAGATTAATCCTTTTCTTAGGCGTTATGTGAAGAAGATGGTGACTAATAATCTGACTCATGAGGAAGGAGTGATGATGATTTCTGAACAGGTCAGTTCTGTGATTCAGAATAAGATTCCAAAGAAGCTCTCGGACCCAGGAAGCTTTGTTTTGGACTGCTCTATATTCTCAGAGAGGTTCAAGAGATCGCTGTGTGATCTTGGTTCGAGTGTCAACCTCATGCCATACTCTTTAGCTGTTAACCTTGGGATGACTGACTTCAAGCCAACTAAGATCTCTCTAATCCTAGCAGATCGATCTAAAAGAATCCCAAAAGGTGTCTTGGAGGATGTTCCAATTAAAGTTGGTGATTGCATAATTCCTACAGATTTCGTGGTTCTGGAATATGGAGAGGAACCCAAAGATCCTCTTATCCTGGGAAGATCATTTTTAGCTACAGCTGGAGCGGTGATTGATGTCAAGCATGGTAACCTTGATCTCCACCTGGGAGATACAATCATGAGCTTCAAGATGGAGAAGCTGAAGGATCCAACCATAGATGGTCAGACATTCCAAGTCAGTGTAATACCTGAAGTGATAGTTGGAGATCAGAACGTGTTTGATGCTGAGAAGGTGAGAGATCAACCTGAGTTGACAAAAGCGTCTACAGAACCAGTGACTGCTGTTGATCAGGAAGCTCAAAACATTTCACTCCATTCATCTCCACCAAAGCAAAGGTATGCACCTCTTGAGCCTAATCCTAATTCTTGTGATATCATCAAAACTGATTTGAAAGATGCAGACTCTGTCTCATGACGCAAGCTACGAGATTATCGTAGAGCACTTGGTTTTTCGATTGACGATATTGCAGGAAATAGGTTAAAGCGGTCCAAACACAGATCTCACCATAGTGCTATTCCTGCATTCCTTGGACGACCTCATGCGCACAACGCTTACACACCACCATGGATGAGACGACTTTCACAGAGGCATTTGTTACCACTGTCTGATCCACCAGATGCATAGTACATCCGCCAAGTCAAGCTAATGACTTAAAACAAGCGCTTAGTGGGAGGCCACCCACTGGTAAGTCTGTACATAAGTTGTCTTCTTCTTTTTCGTTTTTGTTTTTTGTTTTTTGTGTTTTAGGTGTGGCAGATACGAAGTGGTTGGTGTCGAGCGACACCACCATCAGTATCGGTCGACACCAGTAAAAAAAATAAAAATAAAAAAATAAAAAAATGTTGGCAAACCGGAACCGGACCAGTGACGATTCTAAACCGGAACAAGAAACAGACCAGTGTCGAGACGCAGAGCATTGGTGTCGCTCGACACTACCAATGGTGTCGCTCGACACCGCCTAACAGATTTCACTCAATGTCGCTCAAAATGAGTACTTGTGTCGACCTAAGCATGGTGTCACTCGACACTATGCTGTGTGTCGGTCGACACCAACCGAGAGGTAATGTATTCTCGCCGTAACCATAAATCTTTTCAGTTCCATTCCCGTCTTTTACCAACTTTGGACTCGATAACACTGGGGACAGTGTTGTTTAAGTATGGGGGAGGTAATTGCTGACATTGTGTTCGTTTTTCTTAGAGTCAGTCGTGTCAAATTGTTTTTGAGTCAAAACCTGTTGGAGATTATGATGCTTTTCTTGGAATTATTGTGCTGACCTTTCATCTAAGTGACCACTGCTGCAGATTCAGTCTAGATCCGACTAATGAAAAATCCTAAGGCTGACCAGTTGACTAGAGGCGTTCATGTTTCCAATAGAATCCACTAACCTGAGCTAATTTCTGAACTCTTTCTTTTACCTCATTGATGTGACTGATGTTCATAGAGTTTGATTCCTCGTTCATACTTAACAAATGAAAGCCTGTGTGAAATTTAATGTTGGTGTTTCTCTCTCTGTGACGAGCTAAAAGGTGAAGAAGAAGAAGAAGAAAGAAAAAGGCGAAAAGATTGAAATGATTTTCGCTTAAAAGTGAAGGGTTAGGAAAATTTCCAAGGATCCCATTATTTCATTTCTAAGTTGGAATGATCACACAAAGGAAGGAAGCGAGGGGTAGGAAAGTTTCCTATGACCCCACTATTCGCTGAAAACCTTTGATACAAGGTAAGGGGACAACTCGGGGACTTGATGGCAAACACCATCAGTACTCGCAGCTTTACCCTTATCAAGTATATGCCATTAAAAAAAAAGGTGGATGAGTGTGCGAAAGGAATAAGTCTGGGGGAAAGAAAAGTACCAAAGTGTGTATGGCTGATTTGTTTGAGTATAGTACGGGAAAGAATCTGGAAGGTTCTTGGCATTGGAATCATCAGTGAGATCCAGCGATGAGGGTTTATGGATAATGTTGTGGAATTTTGGATTTAATTTGGGAAGCTGTGAATGTCTGCGGAAAAGTACATGGTGGTTCGATTTGGAATGATGAAGCAGTGTTTGAGTTGCAGGGTGATTGGTCAATAGCGATGTTTCAATGAAAAGTTGAGTCTCCGTGTTTTCAAACCTCTTTCTCTTATTTAGTATTATGTTTGCTTGAGGGCAAACAAATGCTAAGTCTGGGGGAGTTGATATATCATGGTTTTTATGGTTTTTGACCATGATATAGGTCTTATTTATAGATTCTTTTTAGTGTTTTTCGAGTCTTTTGGAGTCTTTACAGGTCCTAGGTACGTTTGGAGCTTAATTGGAGATATTTGAGCATTTTGGAGCTAAATGGATGGATTTTCGTAAAGGATGATTTCAGCTGTGCATGAGTGTCGCTCGACACTACCATCGGTGTCGCTCGACACCGAGGACCACAAAAGGAAAAACGTGATTTTATCCAATTTCTGAAGAATCTGTGAAGCCCTTAAGTCTTTAACTTTGAGCAGATCAAACTACAAATACTAGAAAAACGTAATAAAAGTACTTGAAAGCAATAAAAAACATAGAAAAAGTATTTCAAAAATGATCCATAAAAGTTGTCAAAATACGGTGTTATCAGTTGCTCTGCCTCCTTCTACTCCGCCTCTTTCAGCTCCGCCTCATTCAGCTCCGCCTCATTCATCTCTGGCTCTTTCTACTCCGCCTCGTTCTGCTCTGCCTCCTTCTGCTACAGCTCCTTCTGCTCTGGCTCCTTCTGCTTCTTCTTCGGCTTCTGCTTCGGCTGCTTCTTCTTTGGCTGTTTCTGCTTCCTCGCTTTCTCAGTTTTCACCATACTTTCAAGTTTCTCTCCACCTTGTTCATGTTCATGTTCTACATCATTTCGTCAAACTTCTCCTTCCTCATCTCCTGGTCCTTCCCTTTCTCTTCTTGTCTCTTTTACATATTGTTCTACAGAGCAGAGTCTTGTATCAATGCCATCCATCCGGGCACTGATTCGGAGAAACTGAGCGTCCATACGCTTCTGCAAGCTATGAAGTTGTTCCACCAATCCAAAAGGCACCACATTCTCCGTCCCCACATTTTTTTAGCCGTTGTAGGATGGTTTATCCACACCTTATTATCTCGGGCATCAACATCAATCTTGCATATCTCTTCCCAGAATATCGGCTTCTTTTCCTCAACTAAACGCCACGTCCAATTTTCAGGAACGATATCACCGAAATCATCCTCTTCATTCCTCTCCATGACTCCAGCAAGCATAATTACCTCATCCTCAGATAGTTGCAATATACTATCGATGACCCTAGTGTTACCCATTGTTTTATAGAGTTCCGACAAAGGGAAAACTTTTAGGGTGAATAGTTGGAACTTATGCATGCACATCCGGGGACAATCCCTCTCTGCTCCTCTAACATCTTCTCTGTATTTATTTTTCAGACATGGGATGGCCTCAAAAGCTAGCAACTACACATAAACCGAATAAATTACAGTTAAGCTCATAGTTTTACATACTTACAAATTCTTTATAATGTGATATACCCCCAAGGGAGTAACAAAGCTTGGAAATGTCCAGCTATCTGTTTCGACGACCCCATTGAAATGCCTCATTGTGTGCTCAATCTCCTTCATATTTACATCGAATGAATACCTACCCAAAGGAAACCTTTTACAAGCCTCGAGATCATCCACAATCCTCAGGAATAAAGGGTCAACAGATGGTGCTCCCTTACCGGTTTTCGTTTTCCCACTAATTATAGAGGATAAGAAGTAGGCAACACACATATTCAACCAATCAGGATGATCTAGCCCTCGCATCGACCCTACCTTTTTCTCAATGGCAGCAAGGGAGGGGACAGTTTCCTTGAAATATCTATTCTTAAACAAAAAACTTCATATGCTCTCATAGTTCTCTGGGTATGGTAGACAGTTTAATCCACACAAAAGGGCATGCTCTCTAAGGGAATAGTGATTTGGTACGCCATTCACTACAACCAAGTTTTCCTCTTCTTATTTGTGTTTGTTGTCCGAAGAAGAAGCGACCACATTCCCATCATTTTGTGTGTTGTGTCCTCATGCATGGCCCTATGCATATGCCAAAAGTGCTTGAACTGTGGATGTTCTGTAAATCATATCAGCTCATGGGGTTCAAGGTCTAGGGACTCCAATTTTGCAATAGCTTTGTGGATATAACATCTTGTTCCCAGCTTTATTGCATTATGATACTGACTAGACTCGAAGAACATTTCACGGGTGGCAATGGCTGGTTCTCCTCCTCCTCAGCCTCAATTTCCGTATTTTCAGTAGTGTTCTGCCACAACACTATCTGATTATTATCTGTCTCTGAAGCAACTCTTTCTACTATTTTCTCCTGCGACGATTCGGAATCTAAGTACAGTTCTTGTCTAGCATATCTAAACACTTTTTCGATACCATTCATGATTCCTATTTTGTAATTACAAACCGAATAGAGAACATATAAATCAAATTTGGTTTTTACACAAAATCGAGTTCAAATCTACAAAGTTATCTAAATAGAAATTAGAAATCAGAGGACGAAGACGAACGAACCTGATTTAGCGTTGATTCAGACAGATAGTAGCAAATCACTCATAGTTGTCCCAGAGAATATTAGACGAAGACGACAACGAGAAGACGATTTCAAAATTTGATTTTTTTAAAAAAAATTTACAAGTATAATTACTATTTAGGGTTTGACTTACCACAATTTTGACCGAAAATCCGATTTCTTTGGATTCAACCTGATATGACAGACTATATGTATATCTTCATGGTTGGGTTCATAAATATGAAATTTTACTAAAAATCCTCAAGTCTTCGACCGTTTTTCTGTGTTTTTCTTCTTTTCAAATAATTTTTTTAAAAAAATAAATATTATGACGAGAAGATATGAGAAATTTTTTAATGCGGAAGAAATACGTGAGATTATTTTGTATATTACAAATTTAATAAAAAAATTTAATCTACATTTTTGTTTTAATCTACATTTGCTTATTAGTATCTTATATATAAAAGAGGATCAACTCTCTCTATATGGGTGACACCTCATCATTTTCGATTTATATGGAGATGACATTTGTCACATTTTCTTTAAAAAAATAATTAATAAATTTTTAATATTAAATTTTAACCATTTCAAAAAAAAAAAAATTATTGTTTCTTAAATAACATTTATGTAGATATTAAATAAGAATTTATGTTATACTTAATTAAAAATACTGATGAATTCTTTCAAAGAAAATGAAAATTTTTTTTTATTGACTCTTAAATAACATTTATATATTAAACAAGAATTTATGTATTAAACAATAATTTATATTATAATTAATTAAAAATACTGATGAATATTCCTTTTATTTTTATCTTTTCAATGATTTAATAATGTTCAGTATATATTTTATTTACCAAAAAAAAATATTCAGTATGTATTTTTAAATTAATTTTTAAAATTGTTTATAATAACATATTAGTATATAAATTTGAAAAGTAAAACCAGTGTGGGGTATTCACCTAGTATAAATAAATAAAAAATCAACCTCCGATCTACGAGTCTTTTTTTTTTTCTTTCTTTTCGCCGAACGATCGCTGTCAATCGTCGAGCGCCGCCGCTCTCGCTGTTGACTTTAACCTGCGCCGCCGCCGCCGTCCGTTTCCGCTCGCCGTTAACATTTAGTTTAGTGTTCGGTTCTGAGTTCTATTTGACTGTTGTTATCTGTTTATTGCATTGTTATTCACCAGTTGTGCGATTAAAAGTGCCAATGTTAGATGCATCTCTGAGCATTGCTTACTTGTTTTTCCTTTTTGTTTTGAATAGCTTCGGCGGAGAAGACAATGGTGACGGAAGTTACGGAGACAGAGCGATGGTGCGTCGTCACTGGTGGTAGAGGATTCGCCGCAAGGCATCTAGTGGAGATGCTCGTACACTACCAGATGTTCAACGTCCGCATCGCCGATTTAGCTCCGGCGATACAGCTCGAGCCTCACGAGGAGACCGGAATCCTCGGCGAAGCAATGAGATCTGGTCGAGTCGACTACGTCTCCGCTGATCTCCGGAACAAATCTCAAGTTGTTAAAGGTATTTTTTCACAGTGATTCCTCGGATTCTAGGTCATTGAGCTTTGTATAATCTTCGATTCTGTGTGATTTGGTGTCTGATGGTAAAATTTGAACAGCTTTTCAGGGAGCTGAAGTGGTATTTCACATGGCAGCTCCAGATTCATCTATCAACAATTACCAGCTTCATTACTCAGTTAATGTTCAAGGTTTGAAGAAACTACAATCTGTGAATTTTCTCTTATGTGAAAAGTTAGATTCATTGGTTTATCTCCAACTTCTTATTTGTAGGGACAACAAATGTAATTGATGCTTGTGTTGAGGTTGGAGTAAAGAGGCTCATCTACACGAGCTCTCCGAGTGTCGTGTTTGACGGTGTCCATGGTATTTTGAACGCCGATGAAACGATGCCGTACCCATCCAAGGTATTTCCTTATGTTGTTCAGAACTTGACATTTACAGGATTATGTGAAATCTATTGGATGCATCATATGGTTGTGTAGCTGTGTTCGAGCTTCCTTTACTGAAAGCATTCACTATTTCAGCACAATGACTCATATTCAGCAACTAAAGCTGAAGGTGAAGCTTTGATCATGAAAGCGAATGGAAGAAATGGACTGCTCACTTGTTGCATACGTCCTAGCAGCATATTTGGTCCCGGTGATAAATTATTGGTTCCATCTCTTGTAGCGGCTGCCAGGGCTGGGAAATCCAAGGTTGGATTTTTTTTCTTTCTTTATCTCTTTGGCCTTCTAAATGCTATCTGTGACTTTTTCTGCTCTTGTCTCTCCATTTTAGTCATGATTTCATAAGTTTTGCTAGTTCTATCAGAGTGTGTGTAATCCATGACCATGCTACATATTAAAAGACTTGACATTTTGCAGATGTGCATTTATCTATGTAACGAATGTTGTGCTTCTGGCATTGGTTTTCCTAAGAAAATAAGGATTTCAATATAATGAATGAAAGCTAAAGATGCATCGTCTATATGGAATTTTGCTTTCCCTAGCACATTCAGTGTTATACTTTACATTTACGATTCTTTTTGGATTCTCTATTTTCCAGTTCATTATAGGTGATGGGAGTAACCTCTATGATTTTACTTATGTTGAAAACGTTGTGCATGCCCATGTCTGTGCTGAGCGAGCTCTAGCATCAGGAGGAGAAGTATGTGCAAAAGCTGCAGGCCAGGTATTTGAATACAGTTAATTCCATGTTGTAGTTGTCTAATATCATAGTGCACTGTTTTTTTGCCGCTGTTCTTATTCTATTGTAAAAACATCTAGAGGTTTTAGTCTAATCTGTTATAACGTTCTATTAGTCTATATAATGAATATAACCATTAGGTGAGCTGAATGAATAAGAAAGACGTAACCTTAAGTCTGCCCGTCATGGATATTAAGGGAGTTAGAAAGTTGTATGACATACCCTGAAAACATATAGTCGAGTTTGGCTCCAGTCTAGTTGTATTTGGACATTTAAGCTTCCCACTTTTCTTACACTTAGTTTTCTTTTAGGTTGGGATATAAGGTGATAATCACATGGATTAGACTTTGTTTTCTCATTATTTGGGTTATTAGTTGCCATACTACATGGAGTTTGTGAATGTATGCCAAATAATAAAAGAAAACGGACTACATTTTCCTAGAACTATGGCTTTTTCTTGATATAGGTTATTTTCCTCGTACTCTAGTTAGGGACTATATGTATGGAAATCCTAGCTGTAACTTAATATGAGATGACATTGGCTTTGCAGGCATACTTCATTACCAACATGGAGCCGATTAAGTTTTGGGAGTTTATGTCACAGCTTCTTGAAGGACTTGGCTATGAAAGGTATATATATCTTTCATACAAGCTAAAAGAAGGTTTTTCCATTTTTTGGTTTTTATTTTTGGTCTGGTTTTTAGTCGTAGTTAGATACTTAGTTTGCTTTCTGAACTTTTTTCCTATACGACGCAAGCAAAGAAATGCACCGAGTGCACTTGATTGTTTATTCATGAAGATTAATAGAATTTGATATCTTTTTCTGCAACATCATACTTTTGTTTTTTTCAATTGAATCTAAGTTTTCTCCGGAAAAATATCGTGGTAAATGCTTAGATGGAATGATTATACTCTTACCAATGAGAATAACAAAAATAGAAGAAAAACACATTTAGAATTTGCATGACTAGATTTTCTGACCTTGTTTCTTTCTATTGAAATTTTCTTTTGGGCGCCATTTTCTGGCCTTGTCACAGATTACTAGGAAGTAAATACAGTAAACTTAATAATATGACATTCACCGTCTTACCAGGCCAAGTATAAAGATACCTGCGATTATCATGATGCCAATAGCACATATTGTGGAACTGGCATATAAATTACTGGGACCATATGGGATGAAAGTACCACAGCTAACTCCTTCTAGAGTTAGGCTGCTCTCTTGCAGCAGAACTTTCGATTCTTCAAAAGCAAAGGATCTTTTAGGCTATGCTCCTGTTGTGCCACTTCAGGTTTATAAAAATCTTTTCTTTCAGTTAAGACATAGATCGATATAATATATACTTTCTGGTTTGGTATCGCTCACCCTTCTTTCACTTTCATTGTCTTTTGTAATGCGTAACTGTAGGAAGGTATAAAGAGGACAATAGACTCGTTCTCACACTTAACAGCTCAAAATCAACCCAAAGAAGAAGGTACGTATGGATAATATCTCTGGCTTTTTTTGCTTTGAGGTCATCAAATTATTACCATTGTGATTATATGCTTAGGATATGAGAAAAGTCTTATTGGTGTGGCATGATTGATATTTGCAGTTACTAATAAGCTTCGATGGAAAAAGCAGACACTGATTGCTATAGTCATTCTGATTACTCTCTATCTTAAATTTGTTGCAACGACCGGATATTCTGTCGTAATAACTGCGATTTTGGTAGCATCAATTATTTTGTTCTTCCGTGGCATTATACCAGAGAAAATGAAATTGGTGGGGAGCGAGAAGAATGACTAAAGAAGACAATCTTCAACGATTCATTTTGAGCTTTTTTAATTTTTAATTTTTTTAATCAGGTAAACGGCTTAAACCTGACTTCTTTGTGTACATGGATGTTGATTTGAGTTTGACTTGCGTGTATTTACCGTTTGTTACCTCAACTCTATTAACAATCAAATTTTTTTTTGTTGCATTTTTTTGGATCATATATATTTTTTTGGGTCAGTATAAGTAACAAAATGTTTTTATTTAACTAGCAATTACTTGAGCTTTAATTAGGAAAAATGATTTTTACAAATTTTGTGAAATTTGAATTAAAAAAAGAATATGTAAACCAAACACACAGAAATGATTTGGCTTAACTAATAATGATAGATGATTTTTGTAATTTCAATTGATTTTTTTTTTCTTTCAAACATTTGTTTTATTAAAATTTAAATGTACATGTTTATGAATGTCAAGATGAATTAACCAGTTCATTTAACTTGCCTCATGTTGGTTTAAAATACTTTACAAACCAACTCACAAACAATTATATTTATCCCAAATAAAAAAAAAAACTGCAATTGTAGCATTGGAAAATTGAAAATTATACTAATTTCTAAATAAATAAATAAACACATGATAGAAAATGTAACTAGCTTTCTATTATTCGATCATATAATTTAGAAATGAGTATAATTGTTTTCCAATTTTGAAAACAAATAAACCTCATGGAATCTAAAGAAAAAAATATAAGCTGGACCAGATTGATAAATTCGACTCGAGTAGTAAGTAGCACAGTTTGATCTTAGAAACAATATTAAAACACATACCAAAAATGGAAAGGAAGAAGAGAAGAACGTAAATGCGTTTGATAAAAGTAGGGTCCACATGTTCGTCCTCCTGACTCCTCTCAATACAAAACGTTTGTTGCGTCTTGAATTGGATACGCAGTACCCAAAAAAAGGACTCACTCCAACATTCAGCTCTCAATCGCCGAATTTCCCTACCGCAAAACTCCACCGGAAAAATTCAGATTCCGGAGATAAATCATGGCGGCGGAGGATATTCCGTGCTGCGGAGCTAGGTTCTCGCTCTACGTCGTGATAATCATAGCTCTTGTAGCCTTTGCTGGGTTGATGGCAGGTTTAACACTGGGTCTCATGTCTCTTGGATTAGTCGATCTCGAAGTTCTCATCAAATCCGGCCGTCCTCAGGATCGAATCAACGCCGGTGAGGGATTTTTGCTTTTCCGCTTTTGATTTGTTGAAAATTTGGACTGAAGATTGATTTCTTCATGATTGAATCTTGAAAAAGCCAAATCGATTTCAGTAACTTCGCTCTATGGAATCAATTAGCTCTCTGTTTCGTTGATTTTTCTGTATGAATTATGGTTTTGACGTATTTGTGCCATTGTTGTTGCTATGATTTTAGTTTCTGTACAATCTCTTTTGCACATAGCAAATTGAAAAAACTTTTGTTGTTTTTTTGTTCTTAGGTAAGATATTTCCAGTAGTGAAGAATCAACATCTTTTGCTGTGTACTCTTTTGATTGGAAACTCTATGGCAATGGAGGTAATACTTTCTTTTTTTGTTCTCTTTACTAAATATATTCGATGCAAAGACGAATATTAGCTTCACATGTATCTTTTTCACATTCTTTATCTTAGGCTCTGCCAATATTCTTGGATAGGATTGTGCCTCCATGGGCTGCAATTGTTCTGTCAGTGACTCTCATACTGATTTTTGGAGAGGTTTCACATCTCTTTACCTAAGTTTTTGTTCGTTTGTTTCGTTTCCACGTTTTGCATTTGTACAGTTTGATCATAGCTTTTCCTCGTTGAATATCTGTAGATAATGCCACAGGCTGTTTGCACTCGGTACGGGCTCAAGGTTGGAGCAATAATGGCTCCTTTTGTCCGTGTTCTTCTTATACTGTTCTTCCCTATTTCATATCCAATCAGTAAGGTAGAGAAGTGTGAACCATTTTGTCTGTTTTGAAAATCAGCTATAAACACTGGAATTGTCTGTTTTTATTTTACTGCAACGCTTCTCGATTCTGAACATTGTTGCTTTAGGTTCTTGATTGGATGTTGGGTAAGGGACATGGTGTTCTTTTACGGAGAGCAGAGCTAAAGACATTCGTGAATTTCCATGGAAATGAGGTATGAAGTTAACTCAAGAAATGTGTCAATTACTGCAGCTTTTCGCTATGAGCTTGCCATTGAAAACTGAAGTTCTGTGGCTTAAACGTTGTGTGTGTCTCTTACAGCAAAAGTTTATGACAGACTTTTGTCCATAATTTTTTTTTCTTATTAGGCTGGGAAAGGTGGAGATCTAACAAACGATGAGACTTCTATCATCACAGGTGCACTTGAATTAACAGAAAAGACGGCAAAAGATGCAATGACTCCCATATCGAACGCGTTTTCCCTTGAACTTGATTCAACTCTTAATTTGTGGGTTTTGGCTTCCTTTTATCTCCTATTTACACTTATTCATCATGCTTATATACTTTGGTTTACTTATAATCTGCTATGGAGCTACAATACAGGGAAACTTTGAGTACAATAATGTCAGTTGGTCATAGCAGAGTTCCAGTTTATTTCAGAAATCCAACACATATAATTGGGCTCATTCTGGTACAGATCTTTCATATCGACACTATATTATTTTCTAGATAGTTGATATTTTCTGTCTTTTGGGTACTTAAAAGTCTTTGTTTTTGTATCTGAATCTCTAGAGTTTCGAGAAAGACTATATTGATCTCAATAGGTCCACTTTTGTTAGTGCAGGTTAAAAATCTTTTGGCTTTTGATGCAAGAAAGGAAGTTTCTCTGAGGAAAATGATCATGAGAAAAATTCCGCGGTAAATGACTATACTAATGCTTAATTCATTATTGAAATAGTTTTCGACTAGGTTTTAGCACAGAGTTCGTATTGATAAGTTTCTTTTCTTGCAGTGTCTCTGAAACAATGCCATTATACGATATCCTAAACGAGTTTCAGAAGGGTCACAGCCACATTGCAGTTGTCTATAAGGATCTTGACGAGCAGAAGGGATCACCCGAAACAAGCCAAAATGGTAGTGAGCGCAGAAAAAACAAGAAAACTAGAGACGAACTGTTTAAGGACAGTTGTAAGAAACCAAAATCTCAGCTTGAAGTATCAGAGAAGGAAGGTATAAAATCCTCATGACTTTTCGGTAGTAGACAAACAATTAAAAAACACTTTTTAAGTTTTAATGTTTCATTGGAATCTTAGTATTCAAAATCGAAACCGGAGATGCAAAATCCTTCAAGAGCGAGAACAGTGAGGAGCAGCAAGGGAAAACGATTCTATCAGCTGCTCCAGCTAAGAAACGACATAGAGGCTGTTCGTTCTGCATTTTGGATATCGAGAATTTTCCTATACCTGATTTCCCTCCCAATGAAGAGGTTGTAGGAGTTATCACCATGGAAGATGTTATCGAAGAGCTTCTTCAGGTAAACTCAAAAACCTCTTTTAGCATTTAGATACGTTTCTTGGGCTAATTGTCTTTTTTTCTTGCTCTGAATTTTTTCAGGAAGAGATTCTTGACGAAACAGATGAGTATGTGAACATTCACAACAGGATAAGAGTCAACATGCATGCTTCTCAGGAGAATCTACCAAGCGTAATAACCTCGATCACACAATCATCTTCTGGTTCCACTACTCCGAACCGAACATCTCATATGGCCACACCAGATTTGAGTCCTACAACAAAGCCTTCAGATTCGAGTCCTATAAGAGAGCCTTCAGATTCTTCCCACTCCACGGCTCCAAAACATGAAGAGTCCACCCAAACTTTATGATATCTGAGTGAAGATAAATAGTTATATATTTTTAAAAGATGACTTGTATAAAAAGTCTCCTTTTTCTTTGTTGATGTTTTAGTGTTTGAGATAAAGACTTCTTAGTAGTGGTTAATGGTTACTTTGTATGTAAATAACGGATGGATCTTTTACCCCAAAAAAAAAAAAAAAAGAAGCTAAATACACAGTTGCAAAGTTCATTTTGGTACATTCTACTTAAACCAAACAAAAATAGAATAAAATAGAATAAATTCTACAATCTCTGTTTTGTATGCATTACCGCACGAATGATGTAACTGATTTATAACTGAAGAGAGATTGAATAATAAGGAAATTGCCTACGTGTCTATCGTATCCTATGAGAACAAGGTTTCGATAACATTCTATGAGTAGGGAGCTCTTAGAACGTAAAAATGGGCAAAAATTTAAGGTAAAAAAAAACATATAAGCTACATTCTCGCAACCTTCCAAAGAGAATGATCGAGATTCGAGCAACTCAACTAACTACGAACCATCATATTTACATTTGATTAGGTTTCGAAACCGGCAACATCTAGCTACTGATCGAGTTCCGAATAGTTGAAAATTGATTGTATTTTGTAGAAGAAGCTGCATCCCATAGACAAACATGAAATACACATTTTAGCTTAATGTTCTATAGAATTTAGTATTCAAAATTGAAGCCGGAGATTTCATATGGTACACCAGATTCGAGTTCTACAACAAAGCCATCAGAGTTAAGACCCACAATAAACCCTTCAGTATCGAGCCCTACAAGAAAGCCTTTAGATTCTTCCCACTCACACTTTATGATATCGTAGTGAAGATAAATAGTTATATATTTGGTTAATGTTTTGGTGTTTGAGATAAAGACTTCTTAGTGGTGAATGGTTACTTTGTCAGTAAAGAAACGGATGGATCTTTTATCCCAAAAAAAAATAAAGCTAATACAAAACTACATATTTATTTTTTTGTACATTCTGCTTGAAGTACCAAACAAAAATAGAATAAACACAGCATCAAGATATAATTTTGTGTATGTCTAAACTCTACAATTGCTGTTTTGTATTCATTACCGCACGGAGGATGTTACTGATTCAGAGCTGAAGAGATATTGAATTTTAAAAGAAAACTTGATTTATTAAATAGTAAAATAAAAGGGTACATATAGAACTAAAGAGCATAAACGCATAGATAAGAACACAAAATGACATGCTCATTACTTTGACCTAACTCCAAGGATATTCTTCATCTGATTCTGATCGTTCGTAGATTCCCTCATTTTCTTCGTCGTCACATATGGGGAAGAGTCTAAGAGATGCTTGACTTGAGTAGCTTTGCATCGTTAACACTAAGATCATCGACATGGTCTGCAAAGGCGTACAATCTACTACAATCGTCTACAAAGACGTGGACTCTACTAGGTCCGTACAACGCTTCATGGTAATCACCAAAACCCTTGGATTTCAAGTCGTTGAAGAGTGTTCTTCTCGGGATTGAAGTAGAATACATAAAATGGCTGTTTAGATGTCCATCGACAAAACAATTTCACCCGTGACAGTCATTCCAAGGATGGAAACGTAATGAGTCAACAGCATATCATCCCTCAAAGTGAAGTCGTATTTCGACCATACCAGTTTCTCAGAATCCTCTAGAACCCACAAACGAAACTCCAAGGCATCACCAGCGTAATCATCATAATAAACCACACCTAATTTACCCTTATAGTTTATCAGCTCACAATTTATCAGCTCACAAAAGCTTTCTGGGTAAATAAACTTGAATTTCTCAGACCTAACATCAAAGCAAACTATTACAAAACCAGTCATCACGTCAGACGTATCACCCAAGTAATAGACAACCCCATTGATGCATATCCCTCCACTCACATTATCATGTCTTAAGGGACATTTTATATTTCTCCACTTCATTTCTCCAGTTCCTAGTGTCAGGATTTTATGATGATCAGGACCACGCATATTAGCCATGAACAATACTTTGAATTGCTTGTCAATCGGATCAAACCCGAAAAAGCTATATGCCCTTCTAAACCTTGAAAGAAAAGGTAAGGTCTCATACCGTCCTGTATTAGGGTTACATATCACAGATATCACAGGAACTTTATTGTAATAGTCCTGTACTTTTACGCTCATACCATAGAAATAGATCAAACCAGAGGCATAGCCACATTCGAAGTGTTGGTCACTACGATGAGAAATATATAGACATATTTTCTGGCGGGAACTTCATATGAAATTCGGCAGCTATGGCAAGAGATGATGACGATGATTTCTCATATGGACTCTGATGCTGAGGCAACAGATCCTTCTTTTCCATGGCGAAAAAGAGACGTGGACGAGCTGAGGACCTGGTCAAGAACAGCTCTGTGAAATATGGACGGTGAAACATGGAACCCCATAGCTTCGGCAGGCAATGAAACCTAGCGATTGATTTTGCAGGCAATCGCGACAATATCTGGACGATGAGTTCAAAGGGGATGGAATCTGAAATCATGATTACGGAGAGAGATGTATGTTAAGACTTATGTTATGACCTAGAATACCCTAGCTATATACTATATATATATATATATATATTGGAAATTATTAATACATATTTTTTTTTTATGGATACGAATAAAAGAAATAAGATTTATCTACCATCACAAATCGTGACAATTATAAAATAGTTAAAAAAAAATAGGAGATATAGAAAGCTACTGAGAAAAAAATAGACAATCACCAACGTCAATTTTCTTATTCTTTATATTTTTTTCTTTTCTTCATCGTTTTTCTTTTCTCTTCTGATTTGTCTTCGTCTTTTTCTTCCTTTTTTATTTTGTTTTACTCTTCTTCTTATTCTTTATCTTTTGGTTTAGTTCTTATTCCTATTTTTGTTTTTGTTTTTATTCGTCTTCTTCTTCAGATCAGTCTCCAAATTAAAGATTTTGTCCTTTTTTTCTGCCCCAAATTCTTCATCTTGTTTTTCCTCATATTTCCTTTCTTTTTCTTCAGTTCACCATCTTTGACTTGTATTTTTTTTCATCTTCTTTTTCCTCATATTTTATTTCTTCTTCTTCATCATCTTTTTTTCTTCTTCCTCTTATATATCGTTCGATTTTTCTTATTCTTCACATTTTTCTCTCATCTTCATCTTTGACTTCTTTTTCATCATCGTGTTATTCTCTCAGTTCTTCTTCTTTTTCAATTTCTATTAGCTTTCTTTATTCTTTACTTCTTATTCCTCTTTGGTCTTCATCAAACTCATATTCTTTTAGTTTTTCTTCATCTCTTTCTCATCTTCACCTACTTCATTTTCCCATTTCTTGTTCTTCTACTTTGTTTTCTTCATCTTTTATTTTTTTTCTTCCGGTTTTCTTTTTTAACTCCAACATCTTTTTTTCTCTCATCATTGTTCTTCTTCACTATTTCGTGTTCTCTGCTTCTTATTCCCCATGGTTTTATTCAAATTCGTCTTTTTGAGTTCTTATCATCAACTACGTCTGCTTCTTTATACTTCTATTTATAAGTTATAAGAATTATAGGTGAATAAAAGTAAGAACAATATATACGATTGATTAGAAAATTATTTGTATGTCTTTTGTAATATTAAATAACAATTATGAATGGGTAAAAATAAGAACAATATATAAATTATTAACTTTAAAAAACTAACTAGAAATCTGTTTAATCGTTTATTCTTATTGATGATTATTATTTAGAAAGTACATTAGGGAAACACAACGAAAAATCTTAGAAATTGTTGAAATAAGATAGTTAAAGAAAAACAAAATCAAAGACAATGAAAAAAAGTTGATCAAATTTATACTAAAAACATTGAATGGATCTCCAAACATGAAAGGGATTCATCATAGAACCTGCACTTAACAAAGCAGTGTACATCATTCGAAGAGAGGAGCGGAACCCATTGACTTGCCTCATAGAAAGCTTCGACATACTCAGTACCATTGCATGTGAATTAAATCCAAAGTATAACATGCATCTTTGAAAGTAGGGTGGACAACACCATTTATTGTTCTTATATCCATATAAAAACGAACGATATGCAACGAAACAGTAGTAGGCTTCGCCAACATTAGGGTTACAGTTGGCTACAAGAATCGTTCTGCAGTTGCCGCAAAGACGAGGATGCAATTGACATTTTTACGATCCCAAACCCAATGTGTCGGAAATTCAGAATACATATATCATATAACTTCAGGATAGTCATAATTACACTTCAACCAACCTGTAAATTTATCGTTGTAAACCTTGGCAGAAAAATGTTCATCTTCTGTAAAAACGATTTGAGATGGAGGCAGATGATATGACAAAATCTAAGGATCACTGGCCCATTAACAAATCGTTTTTAGTCTGAGGATCATGAAGGGGACGATTGCTAGTCACTACAGAAAATTCATAAAAGTTTTGAAGCAAATAAAAATTAGGCAATAGATTTACAATAGAAAAAATTCTAGAATCTGAAAAACATTTAAAACACGAATTAAAATAATGATTCCATTGTAAAGCGAGAGACTAATTACAGAACAGCGAAGTATCAATTATGCAAAAATTAGTAGGCTACGTTGTCATAATGAATATGCATAAATAATAGTAGAGATTATTATTATTTTTTTTAAAAAAAAGACACATAGACGATTTTTTTTTAAAAAAAAGGCTATGATGGTTTTTTTTAAAAAAAGAGGTGGATGTTTTTTAAAAAAAAATGCTATGATCTTTTTTTTTTAAAAAAAAAGAGGTGAAGAATTTTCTTTTTAAAAAATGCTTAAACTTAGTAGGCAGATGTTATCTGTAAGAAAATATGAAACCCGATACAGGTATATATAGCATGATGGATACGCTAGAGTTTAGGTTAATACCAATTTCTACATCGGTGGCCCATAAATCGGTGGCTGAGACGAATTTCAAACACTGGCCCATTAACAAACTCGATGGCCCATAATCGATGAAAAAGTCATGTCACATATATTGACATGTTGGATTAATGATTGTCCTATCAGAATTAATTAAAATGACACATATTTTTTTTAATAATGACACGTAACCGAATCGCCAGGACACGACACATAGGATTTCTGACTTCGCAAATAATATTATAGATTATAGATAGATAGGTCGGTCGATTGAACTGAATTGAACCTATTAAAATCCCATCAACTTGATTTGGTTTGATTATCATTACTTTTTTCTCTTTCGTTTTCGTCCCTATTTTGCAAATGAAATGGAGATAAAATATGATTTGGTTTGAATTGATGAGCCCATATGATGTATATATATCATACACATTACTGTGTCCAAATTGGGAGTTAAAACATCTTCATCCCTCATACTCTATGAGGTTCTTAAATTCTTTTTAATAATAATTTCGTGTGTTAAATGGAATCCGTTTTTTTGGCCAAAACTTTTATTTCCTTCTCCCAAACCAATGGAAATTCGACACCTGTCTTACAAACTCTTAAAGATCGGTCCTTATATTAGGACTTTAACAATTGATTCTTAAGATTTTTAAAGTTTTTGATCTATTTAATAGCACTTTATGGCTAAGAACTGATAACACCGTATTTTGACAACTTTTATGGATCGTTTTAAAATATTTTTTCTATGTTTTTAATTGCTTTCAAGTACTTTTATTACGTTTTTCTAGTATTTGTAGTTCCAAGACTCTTTTCAGGTAACTTAGGGAAAAACTTAACAAAATGGATAGAAAACCAGATTTCAGCTCAGAGTCAAACCGTCAGAAGTTCACCCCTGATTGAAGGCCTACTCACCGTCTGATCCAGCTCAAATTTAGAGATCTTAAAGATGGAAGTATCAGCTTTCCAGCACACTTTCCAGCTTGGCAATCCAACGGTTCAATCAAAAGATACACGAAGAGCAAGATGTCCCATAAACCAGCCGGCAAGCGTTTCCACCCGCGGCCAACAGAGCATTTCCCACGGTCAGAAGCACCGCGACCGCGGCCAGCCACCCATTTCCCGCGGTCACACTCATCCCGAACGCGGCCAGCTAACTCCGACCCCGAAAGCCCATTTCCGAAGCCCATATCATTTTCCCAGCCTTGATTCTGGAACCCTAGACCCTAGAGATGTCTAGAGCACTATAAATACATGTTTTAGGAACCCTAATTCGTATCACCTCATAAGCCCTCATATGTTCTTATTGTTTTAGAATACTTTTTAAGTTTTAGGTTTTAGGGAGAGAGAGATTTGTCTCTTGAACCCTTGTTCTTTCTTTTTTTCAATTTCGGTTTCTATTCTACTTTTTAATACTATGTTTTTGATTTCGTTCATCATGTCTGAGTAGTTTTATTGTTGGGACTAAAGGATTTTCGATGGGGATTTATATGTTCGGTGAGGATTCCATGAGCTTTTGAGCCGAATCTTAGAACTTTTTCTTCTGAATTCGTTTTTACTGCATGAGAGTAGCGTCATGAACTACATTCTGATCCAGATGCTTGGTGACACGAAAGTGTTTATCCGGTGTCAGATCTAGTTTGGGAGAGCAAAACAAACATAGGAGTGGAAACCTACCTATGGGCGATTTGTGAATGCTGACGAGTCTTAAACATAATGCATCTCTTCTCTTCCAGGGCCAGAGTGGAAACCTACTGGTCAGGGTTGAGAGAGATAGTTGTCTATGATCACGACAGTGGCGTATTCATACGTCTGTGACTCCAGTTCGAAAAGTTTAAGCTAAGATCTTATCAAATTTACTCTCTAGCAATGTTTTGAATCGGTCGTACCCCTGAGAAAACTTCCCTGAACCCCAGCACCTCTTTTCTTATAGATTCATACCGTTTTATTTCAAGCTTTAGTTTACTATTTTCATTCCCTTTCAATCGATTTTTATTTGAGGAATTAGGTTAGCCGTTTTTCCCGTTTTTACCCGTTTTCATTAAGTTTAGTTATTAGGTTATTTTAATTCCCGTATTTTCTCTTTAAGATTCGTTTTTACATTTTAAACACACCACCAAAACCCCCACAAAACCGTTTGGTTCTAAACTTCCTTACTTTATATTTCTTTCGAAGGCTTTTGCAGGAAAGATCCTCCTTCCCTGTGGATTCGATCCCTAAGTACTACAATCGATCAGCTGTGCACTTGCGGCTATTGATTTCATTTAGGATAAAACTTGACAACCCACGACACACACCACATCAAGTTTTTGGCGCCGTTGCCGGGGAAGACACGCGTTTTCTTTTCCGCAAAACCCCTAGAAAGGTTGGTAAATCAACTCTAGAACCTCTTTTTCTGCATATTTCCATTTTTCGGTTATTTTATTTTGGTAAATCAACTCTATAAATCGAAATATACACTATGAGGAAGGTTTCTATAACACTCCTCAAGCCACCAGACGCAGAGAAGAACAACAAGCCCGAGATCTTAACTACATGGATCGATACAGCCAGCCAAACCACCCATACCACCATCGCAGAGAGTCTGTTCGACGCCGGGAAGATCCTTATGGTCCACCTCCGACCTACTTCGAGCCACACG